CGTCACTCACAAAATGTCAACTGGGTGCCGATATGCATGCTAAATAAAAATTTCTTTTGTTCTGGCGGATGGGTAGCAGCTTAGAAATTCGACTTCTGCTGGGCCGGAACGTCCCTGAAAACTCTCTGAATTACAGCACCAAAAGTAAAACTCGGACTTAAAAAGTGAATACACACGATAAAAAAGTCCAATGAACAATTAAGTTAACCCTAACTGGAAGAAAATAATAGAAAAATAATCTCCTATAGCTAAATAACGATACAAGTTGAATTAACGAGCTGAATATAAACATAAAACTGAGAAGATAATCTAGTGTCAATGAAGTGTTATGAGACAGAAAAATAGCTTGAATGTGAATTATGTGTTATGCCGGAATCTGTTTTCAATGTGCTTGGTGTATTTTACTTGAAAATAGAATTCTATGGCACCCGCACATCTCTGGTCACTGCAATCGTGTAGCTATGTTCCATGTTCAGTGTATGTCAATGTCAAGCTGAATGTTTGATGTATTCATAGAAGCAGTATAGGGCTTACAAATTCATCGGATACATGGATTTAATCACTTCATCTTCCGGAATGCAGATATCCGTTAATTTACCAACCTTCATATACAAGGTCTCTATAAATGATCGTAGTGTCGTAGGTCGTAGGGACCGTTGAAATATCATATTGGTTTGCCGCTTTCCACTTATGGAGATCATTCTATCACATACGGTTGCTTTGATGCGTGTGATGAGTGAACAACATAAGTAGAGAGTGGTATTATATCAACGGCCACTACGATGATATACGATCATTTATGGAAACCATATACATAAAATATTAATGGTGAATGATTCAAAGTTTCAATTTATTTTCCGAAAACAATAGCTGACACCAATAATCAGAAACTCACAAGCATCTTTAATGACCTTGTGAAATATAAACACGAACCATTTTTTTTTGTATTGATTGGCTGAATAATGTATATCTTGAGGCGTTATACCTAACGAGGTACTTAATGCTTTTACGTTTGCATTATTCAGCTCCAATGTCGGTTACGTGAGTTGGAAAATGGAAAATGTCCTTTTCACCTAATTAAGACTACTCATGGGAAAAACAATCAAATCCGAAGCGTATTTCACTTAAAACTCGCTGATGGCTCATAGAGGACGATTTAGTAGTTCTGTGAAGAAAAAGAGTCATTAAATTTCCATTCGGACAATGGTTTTGGACTCCCAAAAAGTCGAAAACATGATTTTGAGAAGTAGAACGTTACCTTCACAATCATATGATATCTTTATCTTTTTACTATTATACAGTGTGTTTCAGATTCTAATCGGGAAGGTTTCATAGGTTCGTTCGTATGATTTTTAGCTTAGTTTTCGAGTTGAACGATATTGACATGAGAAATAGTATTTGATTATTTCCATAATCACCCTGTATAAGCATTCATACTGCCAAAATATAGTGTGGTCGGTGGCATATTCTCAAAATCTTTATAAATTGTACTTATTATGGCTATATACAGTGATCTCAATGGAAGTCTTGAATGAATTTGAATTCAATACCTGGAGCATTTATTTATTAACATGTTTGTTGAATGAGTTTAATTATAGATTAACGACTCCCCAGGAGGGTTCAAATTGGTTAATTTGTCTATATCCAATTATACTGGATTTACTTGAAGTAGAGCTCTAATATATCTGATATACCTCGTAATATACCTCAATAGATACTAAGTTAGCAACAACGTATACACATTTTTCTCCTATGATATCTACGAGTAGTAGCTTTGTTTGTCCCCTCGATCAGGCTGATAAAAACGACAAGTGCGCCATGTTGTGATGTCAAGTGACACTGCTCTATTACTTATATAACTCATGTTAACATTTTACAGAATAAAAAAACTAGATGAATATTTCATGTGTTCATTATAGTTTGTTATCAATCAATCTGAAAATGTTCAGGCATCCAAAATTATGTTTTCGAACACCCTCGATTCACGCGAATATAACCTAGTCTCTATTGCAGCATCAATCTTCAGAGATTTTGAGTGAAATACCCTACATTAGTAAAATTCATGTTTATGTCATCGTCATCCAATTTCAACAACAAGTTATGATAACTAATGATGAGAGCCGATACAAAGTTTGCTTATTCAAGCTTTCAAGCTTTAATGATGAAGACCTGACACACTAACTGGAAGACAACATTCATGCAGTGAATCTAGGTGAAGTGAGAAACAGCTGAAGACCAGAAAATAACTATCAAGGCATCATCTGAAAGGTGATTATGGAGAGCCATCACTGCCATCTCGATGAGATTTCATGAACACATTCGCCTCTTGAATCTGAGAAATTGCCTAATCTTACCCGAAAATATATTTTTTTGTAATGGGACGATAATGATTCAAAATTATATCTCTTTGTTGTAATTGAAATATGTGTAACTTTAGTAGAGAAAAATTATCTTTCGTTAAACATTCTTAGTGTCTAAAACAGCGTGTTGTTGAAAAATAATCAACATCTTGCTATATATAAAATTCTGAATAATTTGGGACGTCGGTACATTAATTCATGGACATGCATTAACTTAAACTTCAATAAAAAGTTACCGAATTGATGGCGAACATATATTTTCAGAGGCTTTTTCAGTGCATATAACAAATATGGTATTATTCAGTTTATTGTTATAGATTTTATAGAGTAATCAACTTGTAAAGAAAGAAACAAAATGTCATCGGTTTCTTGGTTATGTTTCATTTTAGTACTTTGTTATTTTTCTTTGCGTCCATCAATTCCACTGACCACGTTAATACCGTGTCTTGGTTAGCTGACTGATGACAATATTTTAACTAAATACTCTTGGTCAGTGTGGTTTAAACTGTACACTTGATACATTTACCATCCACTTGGGTCTGCTTTGGCCTTCTTTGGTATAGTCTTAACTTGGGTAAAGTGCAAGTTTCAGTTGTTTCATGATTCTTCAAAACATTATATCATTCAGTTTCATATAATACTTTCTAATTTTGAATTTTGCTAGAAGGTGTCTCTCGTTATTTATATATTCGAGTGGCACTTGAAATAATATTCGAACTACTTGAAATATATGCTGTCAATATGCTTCAACTAAGTCATTTGGTCTGAATTTCGTCAGATCAGTTTGGTATACGAAATATCTACACGGTATAAACGTGGCCATTCATTAATTTCTCAACCTCATACAACTTTATACTATAGGTTTTTATAGAATAATGACAAAATTTGTGGAACAAGCCAAAAAATAATCCTTCAAGTTCAATTATAAATTTCCGAATCGAATGTGAATTATACGAAGAATATTGGATCAAGTCTTTAAGAGATTAATACCTCTTTACTCTTGGAATCCCATGACACAAATTATTTCTACTGCCCAACAGAACTTGAAAAATTGATACACTCATCATTAAATCTCTTTAAAAACAAATCATTTTTCTCAATCAACGGAAGTAGAAACACTATAAATGTTTCAATAACAAAATTTAGATATAGGTCTTTCAAAAACAGTTGATTCCACAACAGATATAATCCAGGTGATCAGTTTATGATGTTGAATAACCAAAAATGACTAGTAATATTTCTGAGTAACTAGGGTATCGCGTTTCGTTTCCCTATTATCATTCAAGTAAATGGGAGGTAATTTGGTAATAATTCTCAGACCATGTTGAATGTGAATAGAAAATACAATTTCAAATAATCAACGTGCATTAGATATCTGACTTCACTTTTTGATTCATTAATTCAACAATGTGGCAACAAAATCTATAACTACTCTTCGTGACCCAGAAGTTATGACCTCAAATGGAAACACATCTTTGAATCCTAATTATTCATACCTGAGTTTAACAGTTATCAGAAGATTTCCGATAGAATATATAAATGAATGAGACCAATTCATTGAACATAAAATCGAATTAAAAGTTCAAACTGTTGACTATCAATTTTCCTGCAAATTGAAATTCATAATCGTCATGTGATAAAACGGTGGCAAGTCAACGATAAAAAATAACGAAATGAAAGTTGCTGAATTCACAAAAAACTCAACAAGTCAATGATAGTGTCAAGAGTTAGAACATTCGAAAGTCAAAAATTGAAATCGAGGTATTTTAACATTTGCCCAAAATTAATACCCTGCATTTTGAAAAATAAATCGAACCTAGGTTACCAGGGGTACTACTCACATTCTGCTTTAAAATGTTCAATCATACTTTCAAGTATCTGATTCATTCTCGTAATGTCATATTTTATAATAAACTACCTCAAAGCTTCCACCATTTGTATATACAGGGTGTTCCATAAGACATAGATCAAAAGAAGTGGGGTGGTAGGAGGGATCATTTGCAATCTTACTAATGGTATATGTGGTTATTCAATTGTTGATGGTTCAAAAGTTATTCAATTCTTTTGAAAAAACGCGATAATTTGAAAATAACTTAACAGTTCTCAATAACCCAATATGTTGAATCATTTATCTAATGGACAACTTTTTCTCATAATTGGTTATCTCCTGTGGTTATCTCTGTGGGGTAGTTTTCAAATCTGCCAGTGGCATTTAAAAATCAACTTAAATATTTCATTCAATGACAAAACTAAAGGAAAACAACTTTTCTATCAGGTAATTGATAAGAAGTAGCACAATGTCATTAAATTATTATGAGGGAAGGTGCATCCATGTGGATGAAATTTGTGAAAGAAAATATCATAAATGTGTCGTAAGTTTATTGTAATCAATTTCTCTATAGAAATGGAAAAAATAATGATAACTTTTGAACCATCAACCATTGAATAGCCACATATACGGTTAGTTTGATTGGAAATCCCTACCACCTCACTTCTTTTATTCGTGACTTATGGGACACCCTGTATACATATCGATAATAATATTATCATCCAACATTATCTAGCAATAGTAGTTGATTATTGAGAGTGTATATACTTTTGAGTATTTACTTCAGAAAGCAGGCATTTTAGAATGATGCCTTCACAATGTTGTTTTTTCAAACTCGCCATTATTAAATCTTCTCAGCATGAAATATTTACTTTCATAAAATGTACAGCAATAAATGGAATGATTCCATATGAGTTTCTGTTCGCGCTGTTTTTCACGGAACCACGAATAGATGTTGTTGTTGCATGTGATGCGTGAGCGAAATAGATAACCTAACGCAGGAAACGAGAACGACCTAATAGCAAAAAAACGGAAAAAATACAATTATCGTCAGCGACCAGCATGACACAGATCTTGTCGCAGAGATTTTTAATACTTTGTGTTGTTATGAAGTGCTGATGAGGGTTTCGACGGGACTTACCAAACAAACGTTGTGGTCAAACATAACGGCAGCTGCTTGTATGTCCCTCCCGGTATCTTCAAGAGCACATGCAAGATAGACATTACGTGGTTCCCATTCGATGACCAACATTGTGACATGAAGTTTGGTAGCTGGACCTATGACGGCAACCAGGTATTGCTGTATACTGTTAACATTCTTTGTTAGACCTACATCACAAGCCTTCACACACCATCACCACCGTTCAGGTCTTTTGGCGCATTCTGTTTTGCACTACTATGGCACTTGCTGGGATGTTGCTAAACCAAAACTTGCTTATGTACTTTGATTGGTTCGAATCCAGTTCAACTGCAATTGTTCTCTTGTTAAACAGCTTTTTATCGAAGAACTTTTTGTTTTCTTAACGGCACTGAAGCACAGGTACAGAATACTCAACTAGTATTCTGTGGCACAGGTAACTAATAACCCATGAGTATCATATGCGATCGATAATTCAATCGAATGATCACTAGTATCAGTACTGTAACATACTGTGATTTGGATACTCTTAGATTGGTGGAAGGAAAAATCACACCATGATTTATATATTGCCTTTTCGCATGTAAACCGAACCCATGTGATCTATCTATCTAAGTTGGGTGCATCATTCTGTTGAAGCTAACGAAAACTTAAAAAACACCCAGATATCAACAAATATCCACTATACAGGGTGATCCGCGGTTGATGGCCTATTAGAAGTATCTGGAGAACGAGAAAACAAAACATTCTGAAAATTGGAATGCTTCGATAATTGAACATTTTCTTTCCGTCTAAAATATTTTCATCGATACAGCGTTGCCACTTCTATCAGAAACAACTAGCAACTTTGTTATTTCAAATGGAACACCCTGTATTTTATTGCATTTTTAAATTCTTTCTGAGGAGCTGATTCCATCAATGCATCACACTTGGGGTCTAGCAGGAATGATTACAGAGATATGGGGTATTCAAAATCTTGATTTTTCAATTTTATGATTTTTTTGTGTCGAAACTATTCATTATTGATCAAAACGGCTCACATGTCCCTATCTCAACTTTTGATTCACTATATACTGGAATTTAATTGGAAAAAATACAGGGTGCTTCAAGATTCAGAATTCTGATCACCCTGTATCTGTTCCAATTAAATGTCAGTAGATAGTGAATCGGAAGTTAAGATAGGGACATGTGAACCGTTCTGATCGATAATGAATAGTTTCAACACAAAAAAATTCTAAAATTGAAAATTCTCGATTTTGAACACCCTATATCTCTGTAATCATTCCTGCTAGACCCCAGTGTGATGCATTGATCAAATCAGCTCTTTGAAATGCAATAAAATACAGGGTGCTCCATTTGAATTAACCAAGTTGCTAGTTGTTTCTGATAGAAGTGGCAACACTGTATCGATGAAACCATTTTAGACATATAGAGAATGTTAAATTATCAAAGCATCCCAATTTTCAGAATGTTCTGTCTCTTCGTTCTCCAGATACTTCTAATAGGCCATCCACCTTGGATCACCCTGTATGTTCTTCTCAATCATTGGAATAGTTGATTCCAGTATGGAAACAGCATCGAATATAGTTCATCGAAGTCTCCAGAAATTGTTGTTATCTATTAAATTCTCATCTGGAACAACACTTGTTACGTACCTACTATTTTCATCAAATACAGGATGGATTAAGTATATAGGAATGATTGGATCTAATTTCCACAGAAACGTGCATATGTTGAAACTCATACATGGCTTGGTATCTCCATACAATATTGAATAATATTCCTCAGTTGATTTCTTTGACTTCGCTTACACATGTACTGGGTTTTGTGAAATTACAAAACTTATGTTATTCAAGATTGAAAATCCTTCGAGGATTCCAATTCGAAAAAGAAAATCAGCTCTTGTATCCAAAGAACTTATGCTTTCTTGCACTATTATGAATTTCAGTATATCTGAAGATGAACAATAATATAATATCATGTATAGTAGTCACAATGCTTTAACATCAACATCAACATCAACAAAGGAGTCTGGATTTCAGACGTCGAATGTTACTGCTTTACTTAATTGCGCTTGTTATACATGATACTGAAATCTTTTGTCTCGTATGAGACAAAACAACATTTGAAAGATTCATCAGAGTCCTAACATACTTCCCGAATGTAAAATATCTAGAATAGATATCTAAAGAAGAAATATTGTTTTTTGTTTCTCCAATTTTATATTTCATATCCTTTCAAAATTCTCAAGCACAGCATTTGGATGAGTAGACGTATACTTTGAAGTTTGACAAAACCCAGTATGTATAAGATATAAAAGGTTTTATCATTATCTGGTGATAGATTTATTTTGAGCACTTTTCACAGCGAATGTTTCCTGCTGAAATACACATTCAAGCTTCTTACAGTGAAAATTTCTTTAATAATTCTCAAGCTAATTGTGCAACTACATATAGCCAGTTATGATGTATTTGTAATAGTACTAATGCACCTCATAAGATATTGGTATTGACGAACACAACAAACTGTATACTCCCTATCTATACAGGAGGTATCCATTTTATTGAAAATGTATGTGAAATATAATTTCTATACTTACATATTATTGTCATTCGAAGGGTCGCTACGAATAAAATGCAATTCCGATACCTCATGAAGCTTGATTTCAGGAAGTCATTGTTCAGGTTAAATTTTTTTTCTTCTATGAATATGTGTCCGCAAACTCTTCGTTCCCGATATACACAGCGTTGAAGTTGAAGATTTTTTTATTTTCAAGCACCTTTTAAAAAGAGTTAAGTATCGTAAGGTTCCTTATATTTTAGGCAGTGATTGCAACCGTATAAGTTATATCACGAACTGAATATGTAGCGTTTTTGTTTTGATTGTGATAATAGACTCTTTCCTTTAGTTAAAAACATTAATGAAATGAAATCACAGAAAATATTTTTTTCTCGATAGCGGTCGCAGATGCGTAAAAATCACAGCAGACAGAGAAGTTCATAAACAAAACAAGAAACTCATTTCGTATTTCAATATCTACCAGTGGCAATCCCCAAAAAGAACATGAAGCGAATTAGGGGCTAACTCGTGAAAATATATCGCCCGTAAATTCTTACAATCATTCGACGTATGATATGATGTGAACCCCAAAACGCGTAACCTATAGTTCGAATTTGATATAAATATCTCTAGAACCAAAAGAGCTATAGAAATGTTTTCACATTTTAACGCTCTGTTGATCGGTCTCGAAGGGCTTGCGGAAAAAAAGTCTTATTCTGATCTGATACTGAATTTTGAAACATCTTGTCTCACTTTAAACGCCCCTTTCCCCCTCTATATCTATTAGTCGTACGATTCTTACCAAAATTGGATCAATATGATCAGTTTTTCAGAGACGAACATTCTTTTGGGTAGTGTCGTGCTTTTTATTCGAATGAAAAGCGGTCGATTCTCATGAAATCATATTAAGAATTTTTCGCGAGAAAACTAACTTCATATTGATTTTTTCCATGCTTTCGAACTCCCATACCCAAAAACTCACCTCATTCTGAATTATAACAGGATTGACTTAATTTTTGTCATTTTTGCCTCGAAAACATAGTGAATTCAAATTAACTGCTAATTGTGGAACGTTCGATGTCTCAGGTAGGTAGAAAATCATGATTTGAAAGAAAAAACCAAGTTATACTACCCTTTATAAGAATTCATATGAACATTTGCTCATGGGGGTTTGAAACCATGAAGAACAATTCCTATTATGAGGTCAGTTTTTCTGTAATAAAATTCGTAATACGATTTCATGAAAAAAATTGCCCCTTTTCATTTTAATAAAAACGCACGAAACTGTCTACAGTTCGTCTCTGAAAGACCTTATTGATGGTTATTCATACCGATTCAAATTTGGTGAAGATCGCACGAGAACTATAGTTGAGATATAGAGTGGGGGCCGTCTGAAATGAGACACGCTGTATATACAGTGCTCATACATTTTTTACGGTTGAACCAACTTGATGTGTTCATATCCCTAACCCCTAGCATCCCCAACTTTGAAATTTCAATGGAATCACCCTACTTCTAATACATCATTTTCACTGCGAATATTCTGGTGCATCGTTTTTGAGAATCGGTTGAAATTTGACAGAGTTATTGAATAAAATCAATACTTGACAATAATTGACAAACCGACATTCTCGTGTTATAATGTCCAACCAAAATTGCCCATCAATTGAAAGCTTTTCATTTACTACATATCCACATCCCTCTTTTTGGTTGTGTCGATCAATTCATAATTAATAAAATAGTCTACAATTGAAAACGCTCACGCTAAATTAGAGTTTCATTCAATGTATATATAGACTGAAGACATCTGGTGTCATTAATCGGCATTCTTCCATAATTATTGTCTCGCGTAGCATGTCTAGTGTTTCAAGTTGCGTGGCATACAATCCCAATTTCAAATGACCCCATAAAAATAGTCCATATGGGTTAGATCAGGAGATCTTGGTGGCCATTCGATGAGACCTCTTCTTCCACTACAATGACCTGGGAAATGATCATCTAAAAATTGCCGCACGGCAATAGCATCTTTAGGGAGTGCACCATCATATTTAAATAAAATATATTTATTAATTTGTTTGCATAGAAAAAAGTCATAGGACAATTGCCTAAATACTGATGAACATGTAAATGTGTATCAGATAAAAACCTTTTACTCATTTTGTAGTAATATTGGTTATAAATTATAACGCGAATGTCAGTTATTTGACAATTATTATTATCAAGTATTTTGATTTTGTTCAATAAGTCTGTCAAATTTCAACCGATTTCCAAAAACGATGCACCAAAGAATTTCGAAGTGATGTGTTGAGAGTAGGGTAGTTCCATTCGGAATTTCAAAGTTGGGGTTGCCAGGAGTTAGGGGGATGAACACATCAAGTTTGTATAACTGTCAAAAATGCTCCCACCAAGATGTTCCCATATAAATAAGCGAACCCGATGTGAATTTAACATATTGAGGTTATTCTCGATAGAACTACCGATGTGAGCAATAGTTGAGGTGGCTCTATTAAACTTGCTATGAGTCAAGATTTTATATATCAAAGTTAAACCGAACTTTGAACTGATGATAATATCAAAAGTTCTAGATTCCTGTAATT